CCGCAGGCTCACCCCACCCCTCGCTTTGGGGCTCCCCTAGCAGCCACCTTCTCTGCCCTGTCCCGTGCCTGTCTCTTCCCGGACCTCCGATAGCCTCACAAAGAACAGAAGGAGCCGGGACAGAGCCTGGCCTGGGGCGCACAGCTTCGGGGCGAGAGGCCCCCAGGGCCGTCTGGGGACACAGGGGATGGAGAGATCCCCAGACGTGTTAGCGGGGAACAAAGGGGCTGGAAACAAATGCCGTGAAATGTCTTCGAGGGTTTAGCATTATCCCAGTCCCATGTGCTCTGAATAGTAATCTGCTTATTTCTGAGCGCTGCAGAGGTCTGCATGACCTGATCATCTCTGATTTCCTTGTCCCATCGGGATGGCTGTCAGTCAGATGGCTTCTTTGTCTCACATCATTTGGTTGTTAGTTTGGGTTAGTCACTATGTTGTACTTTACTGCTGGTTTTAATCTATGCCCTTCATTCTTGAGGTCCAGTTCCACCTCATGGAGCACGTACGCTTTATTTGGCAATTTGTAATGTGAGTCTGTTGATTCACCTCTCCATAAGGTCCCTTTTCGTCTCTAATTTTTTTGTCTGGAAAGTGTTAATTTGGTTCTTGAGTGAGCACATGAGTATTTCCACTATCTTTTGTTGAGACAAAAGTCTAAAAGAAAGAGAGTGATTTTGCTTTCCATGCAGAATGCCACATGTATCCAATGAACTGTGCCCTTCCTTTAGCAACCTCCAAACTGTTCAAAAGTGGCAAAATGCAACTTTATCAGTTTAAACTTTGGTTTATAAAACAAAAGAGCTCCAATGCTAAGGAAAGCAGGTAACGTAGTGTTTGGGATTGCCCGCGTTCATCTTAGTTCTGCTTATCTGTGTTAATTCTTTATGGCAGCGTTACAGTTTGTATTTTAATCACTCACAAAGTTAAAGCATACTCTGCTGGAGTTTCTACAGCAACGTGAAAACTATGCTATCACAGTGTCTGTTGCACTTCTTTGTGGACAGAAATGCACAGATTGTTCTTTCTTGCTGGGATTTCTTCTGCGGATATGGATATGCATTATTTAAAAAAAACATCAGGACTGGCAAGAATTTAATTTGTTTTCAAAGTATTTGACTATATACAAGATATTAGCCTGAAAGCAACTCATTATGACCATTTTTAAATTGTCTGAAATTCTGTTTCTGTCATGACAAGTTGCTTGCTTTTATCCTTTGGGAAGGACCAGTTGAAAGCATGCTCAGCCTAGCTTGTTAAGGTTTCCTGCATTGCCTAGTAAACACTCTTTGGCATCAAGTAACAATATCTCATTTTCCCTGACCTAAGCTCTTTTTCCAACCCCTCTGTAGCCTGGAAGAAAAAGGGTTCTCCTGATCAGCACAGGGGAAAGAAAACAAATGAGTATGGTTATGGTGAGTCTTGCAAAGTGCTCCAGGCAAAGCTCTGAGCCTGGCACTTAACTTGTGTATTCTGATTGCATTCACCTCCCCAAGGTGTGTGGGCTGTGCAGTGAACCTTCTTTACCTATTTGGGTAGAGGTGTTTGTGCTTGAGCTTGCAAAATGGTATTCAGCAGGAGGCGGGGGAAAAGAGGGTAGGCTCCTCAGGGAAAAAGGTTTGGAAGTAACTACAACTCCAAAAAAGCATCAAGAAACAAAAAAGCAGTGTCATAATGATTCACTCCCAAGACAGGGTTCATGTTTAATGGAAGGATCCACATGTACAGACTGACTCTTGAAGATTTTAGTTTTTATAATGATTGTTCTTTTTGATGTGGCCTTATAAGGAGAAGGAGCCTTCATTTGTTTTAGAAACTATAAATGATCTTTCCCTATGATATGAGGTCTGTTAATGCTACAGGAAATAAAGCTTTTGTTACAAATTAGGGACTCAGACTGGTGTCCATTCAAGAGATTGATAGTAAACTTACTGTAAAGAGGAGGGGGCGCTCTTGTAAGGAATCCTGGAGCTGATGGACAGTTTTTTGCAGGCTGTATGCTTTGCACTTTGCTTGCAGCGTCTGTCTTGGCTTGAGCATTTGTGAGTGCCTCCCCCATATGGTTTCTGTGGTGTCTGAACAGTCTGAGCACATGCACAGTTTGTCCTGTGCCCCTGGCACTTCCAGGTGCCACGCAGAGAATCACTCTGATCTGCTTGACTGCTTTTATCACACTCTGAGGAAGCTCATTATCTCTGTGACTTCTACCTCTGTCACATGCACTCACAATCACTCAAAAGTGATTGGAAAGAGCAAAGACAAAGCAAGAGTTATAGACTGTGGTCTGGAGAAACTTAATTCTTTTGGATTTAAAATGGACTCTCACACTTAAAATAACGGTAAAAAACTGCGCTAAGCTTTAAAGGTGGACTTTACCTTCACATATTTAGAAACAAGAAACAGAGAATTATTACTGTGATATAGCTTTAGAAAGATTCCAGATATTAAATACTCTTAGTGCATTTAGCCACCTTAAAAATTGTTCTCTCTACTGTACAAAACTATTGAAAACTCATTCACAAATTGAACTGCTTTTGAAAAAGGAAATGCAAATGAATAAGGAATTGCAAATGAAAAGGAAATCAAAAATATGTTTTCTTAGTTAGGAAAATAAGCAAGTAGTACTTTGGAAACCTCAAAATCAATCTGGGTGTTACACATAGCCTGGATTCTGAAATTACAGCATCCAGCTTTTTGGGAAAAAAAGGCAAAAAATGCTGAAAAATCACAAATCTGTGGAAACTGCAAGTTAAACTCCTGCTGCAGCACTGGGGGATTTCAAGTCAGTAATCTGTGTTTAACAAAGCCTGTATTTATATAGGAAAGCAAAGGCTTGTTATGGTCTTTTGGGATTGGTAGGGAAAATAATGCATTAAGATGACATTACAGAGAGTGAACTGGCTCCAGGTGAAGCCCATTCCTGATTTTGCAAAATGGTTCCAATACTTAGTCTCAGTATTTAGCTTGTTTTGACAGCAGTCCTGTAGACCAACACTTGTGACCAAAGCTGGGGAATCTGTGCTGTGCACTGGCAACTTCCAAGACAGCAGTTGGAAATCATCTACCAGAATAGGTTTTAGTTTCTGTACAATTCCACAGGGTTGGCTGCTTTTTTCTCTACTGATTTTAGATAGCCCCAACACCAAACTGTTGATAAAACAAATAATAATAAATAATTCATAGTTATGAATGGATCTGACCACTTCAACACCCCCTGCTCCCCTCATATTTCTGTGCATAGATTCCTTAGGTTACCCAAGAAATGGAAATAATGGAAATACTCATATAATCCAGAGCAGTGTGGGTTATTCATAATATGCAAGGCTTTAAAGGAAACTTACTCAAGAGCTTCCTTCATCCTAATAGCTTTCTAAAAGCACTTGATAGTTCTTCCCTGTGGCTGGCTCTGATTTTGCATCATGTGAGGACACAGGTTATTAGAGGACTAATTTTCAATGAGTGGTTCATGTGAATAGGTGAAAATATCTGATGTGTGTGTTAACCTTGCAAAAATAGTAGTCCTGCATTTCAAAACGTTTAATACCCGGCATTTAAAATTCCGCTGGAGAATCAGTCTAATTCTGCTGCCGTTTGAATCAATAGGAAAATTCACTGATTAGCCTCTTCCTGTGTGCAGTAAAGCTGCTTACCTTTATTTTTGAGTCACTCATGCAGTGTGCTGTCAGCAGAGATTTCAGAAAAGCTGAGCACTTCCAGCTGTTGATGGAATTCAGTTAAAATACTGGTGACAAGTAAAGGCCTGACTCAGTCCTGTCTCTCTGCCACTGATAGCCCTATCCAAGGTATTCCCTCCTGCATTCCCTCCTGCCCATGTTAGCATCAAGCAGCAGCACAGATGGGACAGCTCAGACCAAGGGCTGATTTCAGGCAATGAGCTATTTGAAAAATTCCCCCAGGAAAGAAGTACAAAGCAGAGAAAATGTAGTCAAACAGCCAGGCACAACAATGAAATTATTTCCTTACTGTCTAGCTAATAATTTTGTGCTTTTTTTTTTTCATATAATTAACTAGGCTGGGGCAAATAGATCAAGTGCTGGAATAAATGGAAAAACTTGTACACATGACCTAGCAGGCACTGGGTGAGATCAAACACCAG